GAATGTGCCAATTTCAACTGTTGCATTAGAGAGTGCATTTATTCAAGCAAGACAATAACTAGGAGACACCCGTCACTCATTGGGAAGCAATGCTTTGGAAGTTTTAGTATGTTTCAGATATTGGATTAGATTGGAACAAAGAAATCATGGACGTGAAGATGTTGATAAACCAGAAGACGAGGAACTTCGAGATATATTAACACATGGTAATCTATCTGAATTTAACACTCCAGAAGATGGCCAAGAAGTTCATATTGATTATGAAGAAGTTACTAAGGCAATGCAAAACCTTTGAAGTTCTTGAAAAATGTAAACTTTAATTTGCAAGTTTAAATTAAAAAAAGACCTTGCAAATTATAAGTTTATATTTTTTCCATCTTCATTGTATTCTATTATCTTAAAGTTTTAATAAAATATTCAAATATAAGGATTTTAAAGCCTTTGAAATTTATTCAAACACTCTTTTTAAAAGATAGTTTTATGTTTTATATTTTTACTATATCTTAATATAAATAACGATAGTTATACTTAATACACACAAAAAAAATCGGCCCGACCCGACCCCTTAGGCCCAGAACCGTTCCGGTTCAGTAATTCACCGGAGGGGATATGAACCGGTAAAACCGATATTAAAAAATCGCTAACCGACCCGGTCTGGAGACCGGCCGATCTCCGTGTAGATCCCCTTGTAGGAATGCATTATTAATATCAAATTGATAGAGTCCCCAACCCTTTTTAACAACAATAGCAAGAATACAATGAATAGTAGTAATTTTAACAACCGGGGAGAAAGTGTTAGTGAAATTAATACCCTCATGTTGAGTGTCACCTCGAATAACCAAACGAGCCTTAAGCCTTTCAACACCTCCATCAAATTTAAGTTTCAACTTGTAAACCCACTTACAAGGTAGAGCCTTTCTCCCAGGTGGTAGAGATGCTACTTCCCAAGTCTCATTAGCCAAAAAAGCATCTAGTTCCTTAGCCATGGCTTCTTGCCAGCCAGGATGGGTAACAACCTGAGAAAATGAGTTTGGTTCCTGAATATGGGAGACAGAATTAACAAGTTGTCGATTGGAAGAAGAAAGGGCAGAGAAGGAAAGAACATTAGGAGATATAAGTGAAAGAAAACATGGGGTAGAGTCATCTGTGAGATGGACATCACCACATATAAAATATGAAAGGTAGGCAGGTGTCTTATATTCTCTTAAGGACCTGCGCGAAGGGGTTTCAGAAGGAACATGGGAAGATGAATGATGAATATGTGGCATAGGTAAAGGAGGAAGGATAATAGTGGAGGAAGGTGAAGGTGCAGAACCAGAAGATGATGGGGTAGAGGATGACCCGGATACTAGAATAAGAGAGGAAGGATTAGAAGGAAGGAGAGGATAAGAGGAAGAATTTCAAGCCCTAACCCCTCATTTTCACTAATTACCATAATTAAAACAACGGGAAATCACCATATATACAAATATTAGGGCTCAAGTAACTTACCTCAACGAAATCCCCTTGATTCCCTATTCAAATCTCACCCAAAAGCTCCAAAAAGCGAGTTGTAATTGTGAAGAATGACCAAAATTCGCAAAGGGTTCTATTTATGGTTTCTGCCCAGGTTTTTCGCAGCTGCGGCCATTTTCTCGCACCCGCGCGACCGCACCTGCGGTCCAAGAAGCCGCACCTGTGCAACTCACTTAATCACCCATCTTCTGCACTTGCGGACACCTTCCTCTCACTTGCGGATTCGCATCTGCGGTCCCAGGTGCGCATCTGCGAAACCAGCCCAAACTCCTCATCTCCGCATCTGCGCTCAAGGCCTCGCACCTGCGGGCTCGCAGATGCGGCCAATTCTTCGCACCTGTGACCCTTTCTTCCGCAGGTGCGGAAATAGCAGAAGCAGCAGCTCCAGCTGCAAAGTCCAACTTTGACAAATCCGTTAACCGCCCGGAATTACCTAGAGGCCCTCTGGACCTCAACCAAAATTACCAACAAGTTATATATCAGCATACAAACTTAGTCGAACCTTTGAATCACTCAAAACAATATCCAAACACCAAATTACCCTCGGATTCAAGCCTAAGAACTTCTAATTTTTAAATTCGGTAACCGATGCCGAATCCAACCAAACCACGTCCGAATGACCTCAAATTTTTCACACACGTCACAAATGACACTACGAACCTACTCCAACTTTCGAAATTCCATTCCGACCCCGATATCAAATTTTCCACTTCCGACCGAAATCGCCAAATTTTCAATTTTGCCAATTCAAGCTTAATTCTACCACCGACCTCCAAATTACATTCCGGTCGCTCTCCTAAGTCCAAAATCACCTAACAAAGCTAATGGAACCATCAGAATTCCAATCCGAGGTCAAATGCTAAAGAGTCAAATTTTGGTCAACTCTCCCAATTTAAAGCTTCAACAGTGAAATTCCTTCTTCCAATTCGATTCATAAATACCTGTGACCCAAAACCGATGATTCACACAAGTCAACGTACATCATACGGAGCTACTCATGCTCTCAATCAACCGAGCGAAGTGCAAATGTTCAAAAATGACCGGTCGGGTCGTTACAACTATTTTTCTCCATAGCTCTACACTTACAATTAACATAACTGCATACTGCGCTAGCATCGAGTAGATCAATTTCATCCCATATAGCTTTCACGTTATTGAAATATGTCGCGATATTGTTTGATCCTTGTACAATGTCACGACCCAAAATCCACTATAGGTTGTGATGGCGCCTAACACCTCTGTTAGACAAGCCAACAGTGATTTATCAATTTAATTACTCATTTTTGTATTTTGAAATCATAATTTTTCTTAATTGAATAATATGAAATAGAATTTACAGAGTAAATAAAAATATTTGCACGAACCACAATAATGAATAACCTGAAGAAACCCCCAAACCCCTGTGTCACAAGTGCATGAGCTTTCTCTAAGAAGTACAACAACAATACATCATCTGTCCAGAATATAAATAAGACAGAATAAAAAAGTTAGTATGATAGAGGCTCGGTGGTCTGCGATGCGTAGCCTGGGTTGCAACTCATATAAAGTCTCCTCAACAGATGCGCCTGCACGCCAAGACGATCTCCAAATGAACCTGTTAGATCCTGCACATTTAGTGCAGAAGTGCATCATGAGTACGTAAATTAATGTGTACCCAGTAAGTATCTAGCCTAACCCCGGAGAAGTAGTGTCGAGGGGTCGACATCAACACTTACTAGAGGTCTAAATAAATAATATGATAATTCATAACAGATATGAAGTGTACAGCTATAGTGAAGTAAATCTGTAATCCCATATGTTTTCCAATTTACTCCCTTTAAAGCATAAATTTTCCTAATCTTGTATTCTTCCTTATTATCTTAGAACATGCCACGTGTCAATACCAAATAAATAAGAAATACTATAAGTTGTCGGGCATCAGTGGAAGGTTTTTTTCGTGAACATCCGGACTACTAGTGAAATAACGCACGATTCCACCGAGATCGTTCGGACCGATTCAGAATAACGTGTACACTACCGAAGGACATGCGTCACGATCCATAGATGCATCTATATTTTGTTGAGGTGTTCAGCTCACTCCACAAGAAAAGGATGTAAATTCCCGTATTACGATGCACGTGTTTACAATACCGTACATGAGTATAAAATAAATATAATCATTACCGTTTCTCAAATAACTAGCTCATAACTCAAACTGTTAAGGCTTGGCCTAGTATACATATAGTTATACTATATCAAATTCAGTTATAACTTTAATTAGTTAAGCTAGCAGAACGAGTTCAAAAAATTCAATTATACATGATAAAGTCCTAAGTCTACCCGGACGTAAGCGTGTTTTAGCTACATACGGACTCTTGTCACCTAGTGCGTAAGTAGCACCCATAACTAGTTGCACATACAATAAATATCACCTAGGGGTAATTTTCACCTCACAAGGTTAGACATGAGACTTAACTCGCTCCGAAGTTTCAAAACTGGCTCCAAGGTCTGTCTAATACCTCAAACCAATGACCGTCGATCCAAAACTATTCAAACAATGTGCAAACCAGTCAAAATATATTCTAATACCCATAATGAATCAATTTAAACAATTCCCAACTCCTCTCAGAAACTCGATGAAGATAACTACCAGGCCCACGTGCCCGAATTTCAAAAGTTTTTGAAGATAAACCTTACTCATAATACCACGAACTCAAATATATAATTTATTCCCAATTCCATGTCCAATTTCGTAATCAAAATCTAAAAATATCAAATTCTAGGTTTTCTACCAAAAGCCCCACAATTTCTACTAATTTCCATGCTTAACTTTCTGATACAAACCATGTATTTAACTTGTAATAGGTGGGAATCACTTACCTTGTGTTTCTCGATGGAAACTTCCCCTTGAAGCTCTCTAAAATCGTCCTAACCAAGTGAAAATGAGAGACAATGGGCCAAATTCCGTTCTTAAAAGAACACTCTGCCCAGCGACCTCTCGCACCTGTATCCACTCGACCGCTTCTGCGGTTCTGCAAAATGCGGCCAACATACCGCTTCGGCGGTTACCCTTCATCCCCTGGCTTCACACCTGCGGACAAGACTCTGCTTCTGCGGAGTCACACCTGCGACCAAGAAACCGCTTCTGCGGTCCCGCAGGTGTGGCACAAACCTCGCACCTGCGCTTCCAACCTGCCTCACTCCCTACTAGGGGTGGGCGTAATATCCAAAAAATCAAATTCCGAACTGAACCAAATTAATTTGGTATTTCGGTATCCGATTTTTCAGTTTTCGGTATTATTCAGTATAGATTTTTCGGTATTTCAGCACGGTACTTGGTATTGAATTTCTGATATTTTGGTATACCAAAATATGTTAAGTCCAAGCCCACCTCTACTTCTATTTTCTAGCCCAATAAAGAATAAACCTAAGCCCAACACCCCAAGCCCCCTAATCCCTTAGGCCTTAGTCTCTTAGGGCTTCGAGAATTAGAGAGCACGAGCAGACACAAAACTTGGCTTCTGCTTCCCCCTTTTGCCCTTTCCTTTTTTCTATTTTCTAAACCTAATTGATTAATTTCTCTCAAAAACATTGCTTGGCTGTTGCTCTAATTCACGACTACAATAGAAGAGACAACGACGTCGACTTCACGACCTCGGCGACGGCGACTCCTCCTCTCGTCGACTACTTATTTGCTCATTGTTCACCTTTAATATTTATTTTTCAAGTCTTCAACAGGTTCAAAACTTCTTCATTCTTCATTCTTCTTTCTTCAGGTTTTATGTTAGTTTCAACTTGTTATATTTCATTAAGTTTCTTATGTTGATAATAATCAGTTTTTGAGCATTTAAAGAATCATTATTTCTGGAGTTTTAGCTAGTGAAAAGATATGAGTTAAACATGAACTTGTATGGAGTTAAGAATTTAATAATCATTATTTTTTGCCAAACTCAATCTTAAATTTTTCTTTTCTGGAAAATTGCCGTCAAAGAGCACTGAGGTTTCCAACAAAGAAATTTGCCTCTGGATACTGTTCAACAAAAACAAAGCTTTCTCATTTCTAGAAAAAGAACTTAAATAAGATGTGTGAATATTTAGTTAATCATGTCTTCTTTTAAATTCTCTGTTCAACTAAATTTGCAACTTTGTTTTGATTCCTTTAATCGCATGAACTTGTAAGGAGTTAAACATGCCTTCTGTTTAATAGAAAAAAGATGTGTGAATATTTAGTTATTTCTTCTTTCTTAGTAAATTTTAGAATTCTGTTTAAGTGAAAAATGTCTTTTACTATAATACATTGAGTTAAGGATATGTTTAGTTTTATAGTAAAAAACTTGCAACTGAACTCGATGCTTGTTTGGAATCTCAATTTGTGTTTGTATTTGTTTTAATTTTGTATAGATAACGGATGAAAGTAGAGTAAATGATGCTGGTTCAACTGAAAGCTTACTTATTACTGATGATAACAATGCCAACATAATTAATACTCAAGATTCTAAGAAAAGAAAAGTCGTAGAACCTAGATCCATTGTTTGGAAATATTTTGATAAATTTCAGGAAAATGGGGTCGGTAAAGTAAGGTGTAAATATTGTAAGCAAGCTTAGGCTACTAATTCATCTAAGAAAGGAACAACAGGATTGAGAGGTCATTTGAATAGATGCAAAAAATACCCACCAAACATTGATAAAGATAATACTCAAACAAGGATAAACTTTCAATCTTGCCAAAATGATGGAGGATCGCTTTGTAAATTTGATCAAGAAGTGATTAGGAGGGCTTTAATTGAGATGATGGTTATTGATGAACAATCATTTAGCTTTGTAGAAAAGGAAGGCTTTATGAAGGTTTATGAGAATTACTCAACCACTATTTCGTCTTCCTTCTCGTAGAACAATAATAAGAGATTGTTATGAAGTTTATTGTGAATTGAAGCAAAATCTAAGTAGGTCTTTTAGAGAAGCACAACTAAAAATTTTCCTCACAATAGACACATGTACTTCATTGAAAGGAATAAATTATATGTGTTTGACAGCTCACTTCATAAGGGTGAAGAGATGACTAAAGGTATTTGTAATTATTTGCTTGAATGGAAATTAGACAAGGTATTCATTCTTACCGTGGACAATGCTTTTTCAAATGATGTCACAGTCAAAGAATTGTCTAAAAAGATAGATATGTGAAAAACTAATATGATGAATAGTAAACATCATCATGTGAGATGCATGACTCATATACTTAATCTTATTGTGCAAGATGATTTGAAAGAAATTGATGTTTCTGTCACACGTGTTAGAAATACTGTGAGGTATGTGAGATCGTCGCCTTCAAGGACCTTAAAGTTTAAACAGTGTTGTGTACATGTCAAGTTAGAATGTACCAAAATATTGTGTTTGGATGTTCCTACTAGATGGAATTCCACCTAGTTGGAAAAGGCCTTTGACAAGTTTCATCTTTTTGGATGATGGATTTTATGCTTATCTTTGTTCTCATCTTTGTGAAGACGGTAGTAGTACAAGTCCTCTTGAATCTGACGATTGGGTGAATGTGAGGAATGTGATAAAGTTTCTTTCAAGATTTCACGAGCTCACCAAAAAAGTTTTAGGTTCGCGTTATTTCACTTGTAATGCTTATTTTGAGGATGTATATGAACTTTATTGTCATTTGAAAATATGTTTAATTAGTGAGGATGGGCATTTGAGAAAAATAGTTGAGCGTATGCAAGAAAAGTTCAAGAAGTATCGGGGTAAGCCTGAAAAGATGAACAAAATAATTTTTATTGCTTCCGTCTTCGATCCACGTAACAAGTTTGAATATGTTAGCCTTGCACTTGATGAACTTTTGGGGAGGAAAAGGGAATAAAATAAATGGTGAGGTGTATGCTTATATAAATTCTTTGTTTCAAGAGTATCTAAAAAGTATTCAACAAGATCTTGTCCTCAATCTCTATCTAGATCTACTTTATTTGATAACACATCTAATACATCTAGTGGGAGTGTTATAACTGCATCATTAATAAAGATGAAGCTTCACTTGAAAAAACAAAAGGAAGACAATGGAGGTGGGGTTGCTAAATCGGAGTTGGATAAATACATTAGTGAAGAACAAAAGCCTTTTAGTGAAGAATTTGATATTTTAAGTTGGTGGAAAACACATGCTCCTAGATTTTCTATTCTTTCAGAGATGGCTCGTGATATATTGGTCATTCTAATTTCTAGTGTGGCGTCGGAATATGCATTTAGCATCGGTGGTCATATTCTTGATTCATTCAGGAGTTCATTGCCTCCTAAATGCGTGCAAGCTCTTGTTGTATTCAAGATTGGCTTAGAGAAGAGAAGAATCCTATTAGTGTTGAAGAAGAGTGGGAGTATCTTGAGGAACTCGAACTTGGTAAGCTTTAATATTTTGTGTGTGTTTTAGTTCAAAATAATATATTACACTTGTTTATGTTTTATGATATATTTGGTCGAATTATCTTTAGATATGGAAAATAATGGAAGCACTACTAGCATTGTTAATGTATAGTTGCAACTTTAGTGGTAAGTTAAATACTCTATTTGTTTGGTGATATACTTTTGTAGTTTTGTTCTTTTATCATCAAAATATTATATTCTAACTTATGATTTTATTTCTTGTTTTGTTAGGTTCAAGTTCAATCATGTCACGTGCTCCTAAAGTGTGCTCACATATTTGGGAATACTTTGAGATGTAGAAGATAACAAAGAAGTTCGCAAAGTAGAGTACAAGCACTGTGGTCGAGTCTTCAATGTTCATCCAAAGAGGGATGGCATATATGGTTTAAGGAAGCATGACAGGGCTTGTCTTGAGCGTCTTCCAAAAATTCTTATTTAAGTTGAATTCAGTGAATTGAGACAATCTATGTTATTTTGCTTTTATTAAACTGTCTTGCTATTGTTGCCTTGTGGTATTTTGCTCTGTTATTGCACTGTAACAATATAACAGAGGAGTCGACTTGGAATCTTGGACTGTGTTTAGACTTAAGTGTTCTATTTTTATGTTTGGTAAAACTAATTGGGTTAAGTGTTCTATTCTTAATTGGTTTTGTTTTAGTACCAAGTGTTCTATTTATTTTTAATTGGTCTTGTTCATTAAATTATTTATTTAAGTGAGAGTTCTATAGTTTCTCCATATAGTAGTTCTATGTTTTCTATGATTTATGCATATAATAGTTCTATGTTTTCTAGGATAATAGGATTTACCTCTTCATGTTTATGGTTTCTGACTTTCTGGCTTCTGTATATAGTAGTAGTTGTAGTTCTATGGTTTTTGCATAGCTTTAGAAACTGAGAAGCGAGAAACACGTTATTCTGTAGTACCTTGCGTTAATAGATACATTTATTGTTATGTGCAAATTAAGTGTTCTGTCACAGAATGGGACTGTGAGAGTGTTATAACTTATAACTGCATCATTAATAGGGACGGACGGACGGTGCGATACCGAAACCGTACCGCACCAAACTAGAAAATACCGAACCATACCGAACTACTTTGGTACGGTATTTGATATGCACAATTGATATACAGAATATCGAAGTATCGAACCGTAATTCATAAATACCATACCGAAGTACCGAACGCCCACCCCTACTCCCTACCACTTCTGCGACCACTGCGTCGCTTCTGCGGTCACGCAGATGCGGAAAATATTCGCACCTGTGGCCACTGCCAGTCCCTTCCCATTTCGCTTCTGCGAGCTCGACCTCAATTCTGCGATATTGCTTCTGCGACCAAGACATCGCAGAAGCGATCACACCAGCTGTTGCCCAGCTTCAGCATTTCTCAAGTCCAAAAATCAATACGTTAACCATCCGAAATTCACCTGAGGCCCTCGAGACCTTAACCAAATATACCAACACGTCCCAAAATGCAATACGAACATAGCTGAAGCCTTAAACCACGTCAAACAACATCAAAATCATGAATCGCGCCTCGAATCAAACTTATAAATTTTCATTTTTCCAAATTCTATATCCTATGCCGAAACGCATCAAATCAATAAGGAATGACTTTAAATTTCGCACACGAGTCACAAATGACATAACAAAGCTATTCCAAGGCTCGAAACCCCGAACGGACATCGATAACATCAAAATCCACTTCAAACCAAAATAATAAAATTCTTAAACTTTTAAAATGCCGACCTTCTATAAATAGCGCCGAAACGCTCCCGGGTGATCCGATACTCAACCCGAACATACGCTCAAGTCTGAAATCATCATACGAACCTATTGAACCTTCAAATCCGATTCTAAGGTCGTTTACTCAAAAGTCAAATCTTAGCTAATTATTCCAACTTAAAGCTTCTGAAATTAGAATTTTCTTTCCAAACCAATCCCGAACTTACCGAAATTAAATTTCGACCACACGTACAAGTCATAATATCTGAAGTGAATCTACTCAAGGCCTCAAACCACCGAACGATGCGCTAGAGCTTAAAACGACCGGTCGGGTCGTTACATTCTCCCCCACTTAAATATACGTTCGTCCTCGAACGTGCTAAGGACTACTCCAGCATTGTCCAAAATCATTGTTTAACACCTCGTGCACCTACCCATACCACCACACACCAGTTGAACACATTAGCTCGAGCCAGACTGAAAATCCTCCCTATATCCTTAGCTAACAAGGCTTGATTCTAATACACGAACTCTGTACTAATCACCACATACTGTACCAAAACATTATCATGCATCTATGATGAAACCACACTATGCACCATATAAGTCGGTTGTCCATAATAACATCCCCCGACCACAATAGCGGAAATGTTTCAAATATGATGCCCACAATACGCTTCATGACACATGTAAGTCCTGTTCCAACTCTCGCAATATTGCTACGACGAAAGAGACGTGTAGAAACTCATAACCACTTGCCAAATTAATAATTCATGGAGCCTCTCCTCATAACTAGAACCATTACTTCATTCTGAATTGAATAACGATATTTTCTCTTTGATGCACCTTATATAAATCTGATTGCACAAATTTCACGTCCAATAATCTTGTCTCACCCAGTACAAACTGCTCGGGAAATACGCCATCTCAGGCACTGCCAAAAATCTCATATGACGCCCGCAATGTACCAACAAGCTACAAACTAGAATGTGATACACAAGGAAGAACGAACTCTCAAAAGGACTACCGAGCCTGCATAACGAATAAAACAACCGAATAAATGCTATGAACTTACCTCAGGGATTAAAACAAGACACACAAAATGAGTGTAAGATACTATGCTCAATATCTCGTTGTTGCGGCATGCAATCCGATCCAATATGACAATGTTGCGGCATGCAACACGATACACATAACATGTCCATGGCGGCGTGCCATCCGATCCAAACCATATACCCGTGGCGGCGTGCCACCCGATCTGCACATACCAATCAAGAGGAAAACATACATCAAGCCATAACGTTCTTACTTATGAAATGCCCGAATATTGACCACAAGTACGCCAAGTGCATAATACCAATCCTGGGGAGACGGGTAGCGCCATACGCTATGAAACCCAAGCACAACTAAAGTGAAATAGATGACTTTCATCTCGAGAGCCATCCTGCTCATATAACACCACAAGCTACACTGGAACACAACACGTGTGCAAATAATCAAGATGTCTCACAACCTACATGGTACAATAGAGATTTACATAGAATGGCTAACGACGAGAATAACATCCAATGCCCGACGACTCCTCCGTAAGTACTGCTACGACGGATGAACATGTTTGACCTAACATAGGGCACACATTCACATTAGGCCCACAAGCAGACCTGAAACCGATTCCGAGCATACCATACCGGGCCAATAACCTTCCAAGGATCCACAACGGTCCTATTCATGACACTTTAGAATAGCCGTCACATTCGAAACAAACTCGCACGGTCCACAACCCAAAGAATAGAATGTTTCTCAGGCATAAACTCTTGCATGAAGGATAGTACCATAATCTTCATACATCGTTTTGGTCTTTAATAATCAAGTGACTGTCATACTTATACAGATTTCCCTGTGGGGTGCACTCCCACGACCTTCCGCTCAGGTAGAAAAGCCTGTATATCCACACCACCAACCGTTCTAATTCTGTAAAGCGAATCAAGAATCCACAAATCAATACACAAAGACTCTTACACAAAACATCATTCCCAAGTGACACTAAAGAAAATGACAGCTTACTCTGAATATCTGAACTCACCCCTGCTTATCCGAGCTCGTGACATTCTTGTCGACACCGAACTGCAACCTTGATCTTAAACCTTCAAATTCCCATGCCGCTCTTTGCACCTATCATGCTGCTACGCGATAACACAAGAATTCATCTTAACGTCTAAATTACCAGTAGAATAAATACTTCCTTGGCTAGAAACCTTTCACCTAGCTCATTTCAGAAGAACCAATGCAACACGCAACCAAATTCCCAAATAGCAGAAAATACAAACCTCAAGTCGTAACCTAAACCACCATGACTCTTTCGGAATCTATTTACACAACAAGGCCATTTGAACCAAATACCTCCTAGATCAATCAAGTTATGGTGGTTGTCAAGCCCGCACGTACAACCACAAACCACATGTATGACTTCACACACCGAAGGAACTGATCATTGCCACAATCATGTCGAGTCAATCATTACTAACCGACCCAACTTCTTTCAATTTACCCTTGACCCGACATAGAAATAAAATAGCTCCATTCAAGAATCATAATGAAACTCAACAACACTTCTCCCGAGTGACCCACTTCACGATACCACATCGTCTCGATACCTATGAACCATCTCATACCTTCCGCATGTGCACAATAGCATCTCCAACTGGTACACCTATTCTAAAAGACCTTCCGTGAATCTGAAACTGTTCTCCCTTTTTTTTTTCAAAACTGCCTCACAGACTCGATGATAACATAGAAAATCCCACAGGTATTCTTCACACTCTGCTGCAAAAATCCCTGTCTCCAACCACATAATGAACCCATTAGAACCACTAATGACAGTCACCTACTCTGACTTGGTCCCAAATATAAGCCAAACTCTAGTGTGTTGTCAGCATATGAACACTCCCAAAGAAGCAACCAGATGAAGTATTTTCCTTGTACATCATATCTACCAGAAGCATAAACTCTTAGCCTCCCCAAAATCTACGCATGAATCGATAAGGCGAAATATAGCACACATTCATCAAATCCTTTGTTGAATTAACTCTGATGTTCCCTTTTCTTAGTCATAATTAATCCGTCAATGCATCGATAACCGGAAACCGCACAAGCAGGCAACCACGCGATCCAATCGTAAATGGCGGGTCTCCCCCACTCAGCCTTAAGCTACAATCATATAAATCTAGAACCCACAAAGATTCCTCATTATCAATCACCATGATCTTCCACTGTTAACCCCTCAAATTTCTCGAAGTTTTTTGTTAAGCTTTTCATGAAAAATGTGAGTTATGAGTCACAATCACATATTCGACCTCTTACCGGATAGCAAGTAGTATTCTTCACAGAAGCTCCGTCAACATCACGCAACCGCTAACCTGCCCACAGGAGATAACCCACCTATGAAATTCCATGTCGACACCTTCAAACGGCGTTGCACTGGTTACAACTAACGTGAAATCAGTAAACTCTCATGAGCCCATGATCGCCCACCAACTGTATAAGTTTGTTCCTTCCCCATTAACATCAACTGAAAGTTCAACAATACCTTCCAAACTCAAATCATATTGCATCAGAATCGTTAGTCAAATCTTCACACCCATCTTCATTCCAAGAAACTCCTTTCTGCTATATTCAATCTTTCTTCATGTAGTAACCATCATTCCAAATAAAATCCGTAGACCAAATCACCTTCCATCATGATTCCCAAACCATTCTACACTTTCTTAAGATACGTGGCTATCCTACCACAGAATCTATATGCTACCCTGCCACCCCTACTTCGGTCAAACCATCTCCTTTTAA